ACTATACTGATAAATGAATCATCAAAAGTTGAAGTATCAGTCGCAATGTTTTTATTTGTCACTCGCAATTTCAAACTGTGGCCATTTGATCGATTTGTAAAAAATCTTGGACTGGTTCAATTTGAAAAGTGTGATGTAGAAAGTATAGTTTAGGAACTGAAGGACCTTTTAATCAGCAAACAGTTAGGCTTGAAGAATTTGGCTGTAATTGGTACTGATAATGCCTCAGTGATGGTTGGTATAAACAATGGCGTTTATGCCAAGTTGAAGGAAGCCAACCCATCGTTAATACTTATAAAATGTATGCGTCATTCATTGCAGCTAGCATTATCACACGCTTCATCTAAATATTTACCAAAGAATTTGGAATACCTTATTGCTGAAACACTTTACTGGTTTTCCAAATCATTTGTCAGACAACAGCAATACAATACATTATATACAGCCTTGAATGATGTGTCCACAACACCGAAAATTCTGTCAGATTGCAAAACTAGATGGTTATCAATTTAACCAGCTGTTGAAAGAATTATGAAGCAATGGCTAAAGTTCGAATCTAAACTTGTTGATAAAGTTAAATTACTTGATGATCTCACCTTGCTATTTCACTCGGTAAAAGACTGGTGTTGTTAACTTATAAAGCTGATTTGCTCACTTGCACTATAGAGAGCTATTTGGCTCCTAAGAGCCACACCTTGGATATTAAATCGAATCAAAAATTGATGATTTAAAAACAAAAAGACTGTTAACAGAGAATGAAGAGAACAACTTAAGAAAACGCTGTCAAGATTTCCTTATCTAATTATTGAAGCAATTGAAGCAGAGACTTCCTGAAAATCTAGATGTTTTGAAAAATATTTCACTTTTTTTTTTTCTGTGAGCAACATACTTCATCCAATAAAGGACATACCTAAATATTGTAAAATTATGAAATTTTTAGGGGCTACTGATAATAGTGTCGCGGAAGCAGAATATCAGTTAACCAAAAAAAAAAGTTAGCTGAATGGACAAACAAAACAGAAACTAAAGCGTTTTGGAATAAGGGAGACAATTTAAAGATGCCTCATCAAACAGTCCATTCTGTAAGCTCTTTAAAGTGCCATGTCTGCCATGATACTACCCCACTCAAATGCTGACGTAGAAAGAGTTTTCAGTGCTAGGAATTATATCAAATCTAACCTAAAAAACAGGATGAAATTTGACCTCTTAAATGAAATCGTGCCATTAAAATTCAGCCTGATGAGACTAGAGAAATAAGTCTACTGTTCCACTTATAAAGAAATTCGAACAGCTAAAGCATACCAGAGTCATTTTTGATCTGAAGCTTCAACTTCATTATCCAAGTTAAGTTTATCCTGTGGATCTTGTGAGGCAGACATCAGTGAAGGTGAGGACATGATTATGTAGGGTAAGTCATAACAAAATCTATGTAATTTTTGACTTTTTCAATTTGGATGTTTTTTTCTAGATCTTTTCCACGCAGATTTAGATCTTTGTAGATATTTTTTGACACCGTTTTGGATATTTTTTGTCAAAGAAAAGTGGCAACACTGTTTCAGAACTGCCTCCTTCAGAAAAAATACATGGCCAGAAAGAAATAGACACACAGGACAAGCTTCAGTGAAGCTTTAGAGACTTGCTGCTGGCGTGCCGGTTCTTGGAGGCAACATTGGTGATAACCTAAGCATATGAAACCGATTGAGGAGGAGGAGAAGAAGAGGATGCAGAAGCAGCAGCAGCATTAAGACCTTCCTTATATCTCATCCAAACAAGCCTCACATCGCTAAAGTGATTAAAGGAAGATAAGACGATGTTCATGTAGCGCTCATTGTGATTACCCAAGAAACCTCTGGAAACCATAAGGTGGCACTGTTAGCATTCCCCCCCCCCCCACTAATTTTAACATGTATACCATGGCTACAATGGAGGTTAGTTCCAGTGTATTCACTGCTGTCTTTGGGGACATTACCTCCTACATACTTCGTAGGGATTACACTGCAGCATGGTTGCTAGACACTCGTTTGCTGCCCTGAAGGTCTTGGGTTCGAATCTGCATTGATTTTTTTTTCAAAATGAAACTTGACCTAGGCTAAAATGGGTGTCGAGTTTATGTCCTAGGAAGTAAAGACGACCGACGCGATGTTGATTACATCACTAAACGAATACGAATTGATCTCTGAAAATACGAGCCTAGCACTTGGTAAAGAAGGGTCATTTACTCCAATTGTTAACTTTCTACGAACAGAACACTGCAGGCTGAACTACCACATGCATAAAATAAAGATTGTACAGTTTTTCTCCCCCCCCCCCCCCCCCTTCCCCAGTGTGCCTGTCACACGGAACCACAAACACCTGAGCACATTCTGCAGACCTGCCCACTCTACCTACAACTTGGAAAAGACACCTGGCCTCGAGAGCAAAGAGTGCAGAGCAAGCTATGGAGAACCATGAAGGACCTGCAGCTTACATGGGAGTTCATAGAGGCAACCCACCTGATGGTCTGATCTGAGCATACGAAACCGAACGCATCCACTTCTGTAATTGTGATTTCGTTGCTTCTTAATTCATTCATAGTGCTAAATTATTATTATTTTTTTTAAATAACAATTAACATTATTTTTCCGTTTGCCTCGCCCTCTGAAGGTCGTGGGTTCGTTTCAGGGCGGCGCAGTTCAATTTACGAGGTCAATTTTTACGGAGATTCTTGAGGATCATCGCCGGAGCTACCTAGGTCGTGCTCTGTGTTACACTGTTAACAGGCAATTCACTGTTCTGCGGAGAGAAACTGAGCCGTATGGGATAAAACCCGATGCAATGAAGTCGGTCCTCTCATCTATACCTTTACCCCCCCCCCCCTCCCAGCAGGATTGAAGCCTGTACCATTTCAAGTATGAGTATCTTCTTGGACCCTTTTCCAAGTCTCCAGGCTCATTGGGCATAGAGGGCTGCATCTATATTGTATAGACCTATTGGCATTCGGTGGTGGATGTGGTCAAAATCGCACCGGTTGCCTTTATTTCCCATGTACTTTACCTGCTACCCAATTAAGGCTGGGTCGACATGGGAGCCAAGGTCATTTTTGAAACAAGTCCGGTTCATCTGGACTTGAACCCACGACCTTTGGATCCGCAGACGAGCGTCTAGCCGCTACACCATGATGGCTCCTAAGGATGAGAATCAAACAGACACCAATCCTGGAAACCTATTCAATAGTATAGCCTAATATAGCACAGTTAAGACAAAACGGTTAGCCTGTGCCCCAGTATGGCTGTACTCCTGCGTGGGTCAGTGTTTCAATAATATATCGAATATGAAAGCTATGCCTAGAGGACAAAATGACCTTTCCTGCTTTACCCGATAAACTCATATTTGTTTCCTTGAAACCTGAGTTATTAATATTGTTAATTGTGTTGTTTGCGAGATGCATGTGTCATCTCCACTTTTGATGAAGCGTTTGTTTTGCTGTGCTCAACTTTGGAAAGAGAGATTGATTGATCCATGTTAAAAGCAATAATTCAATATCTTTGAGAACTTTTATGGGCGATCAACGAAATCGTTTAGGGGAAAATATTGGGTGCTTTATCAATATGCTACCCGAAACAAGAGAAATCCCTAGGTCAGGATACAATCTAATATTTCAAGGGGTGGTAGATAGGGTGCATTGCATGCAGTCGTGGGACCTGGGCTTCACTCTCTCGTGGGACATTGGTGGGTTGGGGGTTCAGATAGCTCTAGATGTTTTGGGGTCGTTAAAAGCATCAGATAGCCGGGAAACCCAGATGGAAGCGCTAGCTTATTCTCTGTCTTCATCTTGATGAATAAGTAAATAATATGATAACTTATTCCCGTCCATTTCTTGATGTTGTCATTCCACGTTCTTCTTTGCCCTCCTCTTCTTCGACTAACGCCCCCCCCCCTTTTACCTTCTTCCCACTGCTCCTTGAAGTACAGTCTTTGCAATTGATTCATGTCTCAACACGTGCCTAAACCAAGCTAGCTTGTGACGTTTTACCCCTGCCAAATAAAGGCTTCTGATGTCCTGCAAATCTGCATATTTTGTCTCTGACATATTTTTTAAGTTTTGTGTTCTAAATAACTAATTCGTAAAATGTGTCTGTAGCATTTACATTCAAAAGCCTGAATCTTCTTTTCCATTTCCACAGTGAATCCAACTCTCACATTCGTATATTGTCATTGTTAAAATCTCTGCCCAAGAAATGTTTAAGGGGGCTGAGGCCCCTCCCACCCCTACAATGTTTTCTTTGTGTCGATGCGACAGGTTATAGTATGTAGGTTGACAGGTGGGAAAGAAGGGGGAGGAGGGTGTTGCTGAGAAGGTCACTAGTAGATGTTGAACTACGTTCTGTTTGTAACAATCAGTGTTGTCTTACAGCATAAGATAATCCAAATCAGCACAAAGTAACATCTCATACAAAGCTTATTCATGCTCAATCTACTGCTCTTCTGGCCGCCTTGGCTAAAGAGACATTCTCCTGTTGTAGAGTTGAGTTTATCTGTTATCTTTCCATCTTGTTCGTGGTCTTCTTTATTCTGTACGTCTTTGGTCTTTTGGTGAAAGCCTTGTGTGGTGTAGCGTCGCAGGGGATTCTTTCTGTGGGTGGGTAAACCACTTGATCTCTTGCTTTTGTTCTGTGCCGAGTTCTTCTCTTATGACATCATTCCTGATTTTATCTCTTCACTGGCTACGGGCGCCATTAGTTTCGTAACTCTTCGCTGGCTGCTGAAGATAGGGACGGAGCACTTATGGGAATGCCCCGAGTGCTGTGAAGTCGGTCCTTGAATCAAATCTCTTCAGGTATTTCTGCAGCTCTACTCAAACATCTCATTTCTGTGGTTACTAATGTTCTTTTATGGTTTGTTGTGAATGACCACGTCTAGCACTGGTAGCATAGACGCAGAACCTTAGATCTCTCTCGACACTAGAAGCGGCAAAAAAAGAAAAGAAGAAAAAGAAGAAGAAGAACGTCGATGCGGGATTCCTACAACTGGGTCTCTGCACTATTGATAGATCTCCGAGTCTCAGTGGCAGTTAGGCGGGAACAGAAGATGTGGTTGCTGTGGTCGGTTGCCGGGCGCTTTCTCCGTCGAATCTTGATCCACAGCATGCGTGTTGCGACTTGCCGGAATTTCCGCCCGGTAGCACAGTAGAGTAGAAAGTTGATCGAATGGTTTAGATACATTAGCAGAGATGCTAGAGTACCGAAGAGGATTCCCTTTGATCGGGTTTGGTTGCTGTTGGACGGCGTGTTGAACCAGATACTAGCCACGATATTGGAGATGTTCATTGGGAGAGTGGTTAGCAGAAAGGTGAAGGACACTGTCAGCAACATGACCGTCATGCGGACATTTCCGGAGTCGGTAGATGAATGGTTGTCGGTCTGGGCCGGACGTTGGCCGTCAAGGAGTCGAATCCGTAGACTGTTGGCAGTGCAGATCTGGGGGGAAAGAAATATAACTGAATTACAGTTGTAAAGGTTTGTTGTCTTACGTGTTTTGTGCCTAATGTATTTTGAGGTTAACAAAACAAGACCAGTAAGGTGTTGCATTGTATGGGCAACACAGGTCGGTCTCTACAATATTGTGCAAACGTTGTGCTAGGCAGACGATTAACTTTAAACCAGACCTTAATCGGTATCTCCAAGGGGTGTGATTCCCGGCGTCTCTATAGCACAACGGAACACTATCGGCCGGGAAGACGGAAAGATATCAGCAACGTTGTACTGAGTATTTCTGAAACATCTTTCCTCACACGTCTTCACGATGTGGTTGTATAGACGAATGATGAGAATACACTGGACAGATAACAAGAGTAATGAAGATGTCTTGCAAGAACCTGACTCACGAAGAGAACTGATTGCTCACATTAGAAAGAGACAATCTGCATTCTTTGTTTATGTAATGAGGAGAAAAGGGAGTACATCTGACGGTAGGAAAGCTGGAGGGGAGGAGAGGCAGAAGGAGAGAACAGATGCTGGACAGTTTGACATCATGGCTGAGTCAGAGTTGATTAAAGGGACACTAGATAGAAGGTTGTGCATAGACATGATTACCAACGTCACACGGCATCGACTCTGAGGTACAATTTAGCCTGCAGCACCTTTAGTTTATCTGCAATAGTCGGTAATGCAAGGATGTATCGCATGCACAACCGGGGTGTCTCTTGTACATCACAAGAACACCCACATAGCTTCATTAGCGACGAGGTGTGATCAGTCAGATGGATAATATTTTGTTCTCCTGCTTCGGCGGTAGACAGACAATGTTTAAATAATCCTCACTTTCTTGCGTGGTCGGGAAGTAAAGGCGGCCGGAGTGATGCTTACCACATCATCCATCTTGTGCCGTTTGGTCTATAAGAATATAGGTCTAGCCCTCTATACCCCTAATGGCGTGGGAAAGGGTCATTTTTTACTCTTGCGTGGTGCGACTAGTCCTCCATTTTCTGATAGCTACAATAACAATTTTATGGGAAAGGATCAGGTTCAACGAAATCAGTCCCTAGCTTCTAAACAGGCTTTTTATGATCATCAGAGAAAATCCCAATAATTGCTTTTTATGACAGATCTTTAGAATACTTTCTGACAATAAGAGAATTCGTCCCCCGCACCAGGCAAGATGGAGCCCTGGGGAGCTATGGTCTCACCAAGCAAACAAAACTAGTAGGGATCAGACATGATGACCCTTGCAGACGAAAGCCGTTAGTGCAGAGGCTGTCGGTGATAACTAAATTAGTCTTCGCGAGACTTCTCATACATTGATTCTCATCCGTTCTTTGAGGACAGTCACTGAGAGAAAGTTTTTATCTTTCATTCGTGTTTTCGGGAGGCTTTGGGAGATGCGTCAAACACGAAGGTGGCCTTTAGTTGCTGAACCTTTCTGAGGGTTGGCGTGTCTGTAGTTTCCACATCATCATCATCATCATCACATGTCCTGTCGACTGGCGTAGGCTTTCATATATCTCAACAAATCTCGTCCCCTTGTCCTCTGGATCAGTTCTACCGATGATATCTATCCGTCATCATCTCTATCGGTCTGCCTCTCCTTCTTCTACCATTGATCTTCCCAGTTGCCACAACATTCTTCAAAGCCTCATCCCTCATCACATGACCAAAGAACTCGTTCCCTACCCCCTCAGTTCATCTGTCTGCCTCTGTGTCTGTCTGCCTGCCTAGCTGCCTTCCCTTATCTGTGTCTATCGGCCCATCAATTATGTATCGAGGTAGCTGCATTTCCTTCATTCCTGCTGTCCAGCTATCTATTCCCCAGTTCAATTCACTGATTACTCTTGAAATATAGTTTATTCTCTTCCTCACCGTCAAGCGTTAAAGCAGCGGTTTTCACCCTATACCTTCTGTTGGTTGAAGGACCTTTTCCCAGCGGTCGCATAAGACCACCGTAAAACACATATTCACCGTAGTTCACAATAACATGAGGAACTGTATTAAAGGGTCGCGGCATTGGGAAGGTTGAAAAACACTGTGCCATTCTGTCTGGTCTTGTACCCACAATGCAGCACAGACCTTCATCCAACTTGCAACTAAGCGTTCTGGTCTTTGTCATCTCTTGCAAATCCACCCACTTCCCCCCAAATGTTCTTCCCATAGAATTATTGTATCTCATTATCTTTCCCACTCTTGTGTATATGCAAACTTCGGTGGTGTAGCCGTTAGATGCTTGCCTTCAGGGCTGAAAGTCGTGAGTTCAAATTTGATTCGAGACCGATTTTCTTTCCTCAAAAATGACTATGGCTGTCAGGTTGACCCAGCCTAAAATGGATACCAGGTAAATTCTGAGAAGTAAAGGCGGCCGGCGTGATGTTGACTTTCTCACCCACAAAATACCGACTGGTGTATAACACATAGATCTTGCTATATAACCAGTAGGCGCAAGTGAGTGGAAAACGTCCCTTTACTTATATCCCTTTATGTGATTTATTTTGCTCTGGGTTCCCATAAAGATATTTTTATTAACATTATTAGCCGGCCATTACTATTCAACAACCACGTCACCCCCCCCCCCCCCCCCCCCCCCCCCCCCCCCCCCCCCCCCCCCCCCACCATTGCCATCCTCCCCCCCCCCCCACGTTTTAATTCTTTGCAATTCTTTGCTTCTCATAATAAGATACGCGTTAGTAATTCTAACATACAATTTAGTGCTCGTGTTCTCCTCAGAAACCAGGCAATAAATGAATGTTTGCAGATTATAAGGAATTATGTTTGTCGTTCTCCGTTATTATTCATCTACATAGCAGTATTGGTTTGACAACAACAAGTATGGAGCTATATTTGATTTCTGGTGACTGCCACGAGTGTCCTGGAGCAGTTATTGTTCTTAATGACTTTTTGTATTTTGTTATCTCTGGTGCAGTTAGTGTTCTTTATGACTTTTTGTATTTTTTTTATAATCTCTGATGCATTTATTGTTCTTTATGACTTTTTGTATTTTTTTTATAATCTCTGATGCATTTATTGTTCTTTATGACTTTTTGTATTTTTTTTATAATCTCTGATGCATTTATTGTTCTTTATGACTTTTTGTATTTTTTTTATAATCTCTGATGCATTTATTGTTCTTTATGACGTTTTGTATTTTTTTTATAATCTCTGATGCATTTATTGTTCTTTATGACTTTTGTATTTTGTTATCTCTGGTGCAGTTATTGTTTTTTATGACTTTTTGTATTTTGTTATAATCTCTGGTGCATTTATTGTTCTTTATGACTTTTTTTTATTTGTTATTGTTCTTTATGACTTTTTGTATTTTGTTATAATCTCTGGTGCATTTATTGTTCTTTATGACCTGTTGTATTTGTTATTGTTCTTTATGACTTTTTGCATTTTGTTATAATCTCTGGTGCACTTATTGTTTTTTATGACTTTTTGTATTTTGTTATCTCTGGTGCAGTTATTATTCTTTATGACTTTTTGTATTTTGTTATAATCTCTGCTGCAATTATTGTTTTTTATGACTTTTTGTATTTGTTATTGTTCTTTATGACTTTTTGCATTTTGTTATAATCTCTGGTGCACTTATTGTTTTTTATGACTTTTTGTATTTTGTTATCTCTGGTGCAGTTATTATTCTTTATGACTTTTTGTATTTTGTTATAATCTCTGCTGCAATTATTGTTTTTTATGACTTTTTGTATTTTGTTATAATCTCTGGTGCATTTATTGTTCTTTATGACTTTTTGTATTTTTGTTATAATCTCTGGTGCAGTAAATGTTATATATGACTTTTTGTGTTTCGTTATAATCTCTGGTGCATTTATTGTTTTGTATGACTTTTTGTATTTTGTTATAATCTCTGGTGCATTTATTGTTCTTTATGACTTTTTGTATTTTGTTATAATATCTGGTGCATTTATTGTTCTTTATGACTTTTTGTATTTTGTTATAATCTATATTCTGTCTATATCTGTCTGTCAGTCTGTCAGTCTGTCAGTCTGTCTGTCTTTTTTTTTTGTCTAATACTTTTTCTTTGTCTGTCTGTGTCTTTTTTGTCGTTACCATTCTTTCCCTCTCTTTCTTCTGTCTGTCTTCTTTCTCTCTCTTTCTCTGTCTATTGTCTCTTTCTGACTATAATCGTTTTCTCCTGTCCCATTCATTTACCCTTCTCTCTCTATTTGCTGCCCCATCTCTCCTGTCCCAGTGTCTCTCTCTCTCTCAGCCCTCTCTTATATTGTGCCCTCTCTACCAAGCGCTCCCCCACCCCCTCCTCTAAAACATATCCCCAATTTAATCTTGTGTACGGATGATCAATCTGTAAGAAACGCGAAGGTAAGTCTTCAGTCAACATGTTTCCATCTATGGCCACGCATGGGCTGATAACTTCGTTGAGCCTAAATTTACACTGTTTTCCCCCTGACAGTCTCCATCCATCTGTTTCGCGACCCCCCCCCCCCCCCCCCCTTTTTTTCCCCTACCTCATTTTGCTGAAATAGGAATGTTCATGCAAACAGCGGAAATAGATGGCGATAGCATCGGCACATGGATGAAAACTGTCTGAGTGCTGTCACGATATATTTTTGAAGACAGCCTTACTGCCCCCTACCGGTGCACAGCTTAAACCCACGGAGGTTGCACACGAACATATTACATTAATACGTTAAGGTTGTAAATCCCTTACATGGCACATCAATCCATGCATGCTATGTTCGCCGGTCGTTTTTTACTCCCCCAGTGTTAACTGTGTCGGCTCTGTGGCTAAGTCGATGCGAACGCTTCGCTTCGTAATGCCGGGATGCCAGGTTCGATCCCAGCTGCGGGCAATGCGCCTTGCGTTGGTTTCGACAGTGGTATCAAGAAAGCCGACCGTCCAGGAAGCAATGGCAAACTACTGGACGTAAATTGCCTAGAGAAACCACACAACTGCCAGGGGCTGTTAGGGTTGGTTCTGCAACGTCCTGTAAAGGATACGCAACTAACTTAGTGTT